TGCTGGATAGCTATAGTTGTTAACGTGACACACCTGATTAGATGGAACCTCAATTGAGGATTTTTCTCCATTGAATGGGCCTGTGGCCATGTCTGTGGGACATTTTCTTGATTATTGAGTGATGTAAGAGGTCCCAGCCCACTGAGGGGGATGCCACCCCTGGTCAGGTGGTCCTATATTATATAAAAAGGCAGAGTGAGCACAGGCCAGAGGAGGAGCAAGCCAGTAAGCAGCTCCAGGTTCCTGCCCTGAGCTCCCACCTTGGCTTTCCTTGATGATGGACTGTGCTTGTAAGCCAAATAAACTGTTTCCTCCCCAAGTTGGTTTTGGTCAGTGTTTTTATCACAGCAGTTGAAGACAAACTAGAACAGACACCAGATTGCCATTCAGGCAATACAACTCATATACATAAAATAAAAATAATGATGTATATTTTTTAATCTACAAAATAGGGGCTAGAGAGATGGCTCAGCAGTTAGGAGAATTGACTGCTCTTGCAGAGGACCTGGGTTCAGTTTCTAGCACCCACATGGTGGCTAACAACCGTCCATAACTCCAGTTTCAGGGGATCCAATACCCTCTTCTGATCTCCATGGGCATTACACGACATGAGTGTACTTACATACATGCAGGCTGTATACTCATACTCATAAAATAAAAATAATTTTTTTAATCTACAAAATACAAAAAAGACTGCACCTAATGTCAGCACAGTGTTTTGCTGGTCTATCCAATATTGTGCTGGAGATCCTACCTAGGACAATAAGAAGAACAAAGAATAAGAGGCATTCCTGCACAGTGAAGAGAAAAGCAAAACCATGTGTTCACCGATAACTCATCTATATAGAATATCCTAATCTATAAAAGTACTCCTAGGACCAAAGACTAAATAAAGCCTTTTACAGTTGTTCAGGAAAATTACAGTCTTCCCTTGGCATTTGTGAAGTATTGCTCCCAATTCTCCCAATACCAAAAATGAGGATGTTCTCAAGTCCTTTGTATAAAATGTAGTGTTTGGAGCTAGAGAGATGGTAAAACACTGCAGGCAAAGCATTCGTACACATAAAATAATTTCAGTTTTCTCAGTCTCACCTCTCCTTGTGCACGCTCCTGCAGTGTAATGGTTCCTCCTTCTGATATGCAAAAGTTTTCCGATGGTTTTCCTGCAGTTCACATCTACTGTCAAGTTTGCTAATGAAGAATTTGTAGTAGGACCTCCCTTAGGACTTTAACCTTTAATAATACCATGTTTGATGATCCTTCCTTTGCTTAAGCATGATTACCTTATTTCTCTAAGCATATTTTTATTAAATTTTTGTGATTTACAATATATTTTGATCATAGATAGATCTCCTCCCCTATCCACCCTCTCCTGGCTACCCCTTGCCCTATCTAATATAATATATAATATATGCATATGTATATTATATGTATATGAAGGCCTATAGTGTCTAGTTTATGTCCCCAAGTCCCCAAATGTCCTTCAGTGTGGGTCCATCCACTGGAGCCTGTTTGACCTACCAAGAGTCACACCCTTGAAAGAGACTGACTCTCCCCCTCCCAGCAGCCATCAGTTGCCAGTAGTTCCTCAGGTAGGGTTACAGTTTCTTACCCACTTGCCCACATCTATGCTGGGATTTTTATTTATTTTGGTCTTTTGAGACAGGGTCTCCCTATAGATCCACCTGACCTAGAACTCGCTATGTAGACCAGGCTGGCCTCAAACTCAGGGATCCACTTGCCTCTGCCTCCCAAGTACTGGGACTAAAGGCATGTACCGTCACGCCCGGTTATGCTGGGATTTTGTCAGGCTTGGTCTAAGCATATTTTTAATGACATTTGTTGAATCTGAGCAAATTTCAACATGAGTGGATCATGTATAGGTCTTGCATTTTTGTTGTGACTAGTGTATTATAGGACTCCTAGTGGCTTTCCCAGCTCCTGTGCTTTTTTTTTTTTTTTTTTTTTGGAGACAGGGTCTCCCTGTAGCCCCAACTGACCTGGAACTCACTAGGCAGACCAGGCTTGAACTCACAGAGATCCGCCTGCCTCTGCCTTCCAAGTGCTGGGATTAAAGGCTTGTACCACCACGCCCGGCACTTTTTTCTTTTAGAAGAGATTTTTGTTGTTCAGCTAAGATGGCGAAAGAGATGATTGATTGTATACAGGTGACACTTGGCCAACAGTAAGAACAGAACTCATCCAGAATGACCAAGTCTGGGGCAGAGGGCCAGCAGGGACTGTTGTGACTGTAAGCAGGGCTGTCTCTCAGAGGTGTTGGTGAAGTTCCAGAACCACAGAGATGAATTTATAGACAGTCACACATAGTCCAGCAGTCTACCCGTGGCCTCCATGGGTGCACAAGTTAGTTTACTTGGACTCTCCCTAACCTTTGTCGTGCTCTTCAGCCTGTACATTTGCTTTTTTGTCCTTCATTCTCATGACACAAGGAAAATGGCACTATGGCCGCTATTTTAATTTTATGAGTGTTTTGCCTTCATGTAATTAATTAAACCACCTTCATGTAAGTAATTAAACCACATGCAAGTAGTGCCCATGGAGGCCAGGGAGTCAGATCCCCTAGAACTGGAATTACTGATGGTTGTTAGCTGTCCTTTGGGTGCTTAGGAACCAAACCAGGATCCTCTGGAAGAGCAGCCAGTGCTCTTAACTGCAGAGCCATCTCTCCAGTCCCTCCTGTGCTTTTTTCTGCCAAGCCTTCGTACTTGCTTATGGGTTGGCTAGGCTGTTTCTCCCTGATGCCATTCACCTCCACACAGGTATGCTTCAGAGCATCAGTCATTACTGTCTGGATTTTACTGTTGTTTTATACAGTGCCCAGGGGCATAAATCATTAGGCAATTAAAGATTCAATTAAATTTGTGATGAGTAGAAAGTCATGTTTGGCTTGGTGGTGAGGTTGTTGGACTGCTTTGGCTTGGATTATTTCAATGGGTTCACTGAGCAGAGGCAGATTTGAGTTAGTCTAAGGTCTGCTCTAATCCCAGAGGGCTCTTCTCTGCTTTCTCTTCCCTGGGGCTCAGCTCACTTACTGGTAGTAGATCCTGGGGCTTGAGCCTTCCCACATTGTTTGGCCTCGTGTAAGCTATAGCGGGCACTAGCTACGGTATGTCTCAGCTCAACACTCTGAACATATATATTCCACCCCCCCGCCTGTCAAGTGAGGTAAGGATGATTAGATCTGGTATTCTTGGCCACTGGGACTGGGATGAGTCTCTACTTGGGAGCATTATGAGGTTGGGGTCCTGTTCTCTTGGCCACACTCAACAGGAATGTAATATGATTTCATCAACCTAGGGTTAGACAAGGCAAAAATCCTTCCAGTGTGATCCCTAAACTGACAGAACTGAGAGAAGGGTTCCCCACAGCCTAGCCACACCCTCCAGGGTGCAGCGTCTGATGAGTTGCTGTCATTCATGCCATAGGTACTCACTGTCCCAGAGTTTTAGTCCTTTTTTGTGTCACTACGCTTGTTAGATGCCTATGAACAATTTCAGAAAAAATAATCCAAACAAGCTTTGTGTGTCTCACTTTGGAAAAGGAGCACTTCCTCCGAGTTCTGCACTCCCAGTCCAGAAGTGGGGTCTTCCCTTCATCTTCAAGGACAGGAAGTTTTGTCTATTTTTGTCTTTTGAGACTTACTAAAACATAAGTTCTAGGTCTGGTGATGCCTCATAGGTCTCTGTGGCTCTTTGCTTTTATTTTTTTTCTCCAAACTATAATCTCAGTTGACCTATGTTCATGTTTATTGATCCCTGTTTCTCCCTACGCTCATTTTCCTTGATTTCCCTGACGTTTTTGTATTTATTTGTATTGTGTGTGTGTGTTTTGCCTGCATGTATGTGAGTACACCACATGAATGCAGTGCCCATGGAGGCCATGTGGGTGCTGGGAACCAAACCCAGGTCCTATCTGCAAAAACAGCAAGTACTCTTAACCACTAAGCCGTTTCTCCAGCATACCCTCCCACCCCCATGAATTTTTACCCTGAATGTCAGTTTGGCATTTTTTATTTCTCTTTTACTGAAATTTTGCATTTAGTAAGACATCATTCTTATACCTTAGTTCTTCATCTGTGGTTCTGCAGTTCTCTGGGCTTATTTAAAACAGCTAACTTAGAATCTTTGTGGGGGGGGTAGCAATTGCTTTTTTTCTCCTTAAGAGCTGTAGCTCTGTTTGTTTGTTTGTTTGTTTGTTTGTTTGTTTGTTTTGGAGGCAGGATCTCACTGTGTAACTCTGGCTAGCCTGGAAATCGGAGTTATAGACCAGGTGGCCTGGAACTCACAGAGATCTACTTCCCCCTGCCTCCCGAGTGCTGGGGTTAAAAGCATGCATCACCACCACCACTCCTAGCCTCTCTTTTTGATTTTGGTTTTTGTTGTTGTTTGTTTTGTTATTTGGTCTTTTTGAGTCAGGGTCTCCCTGTAGCCCCTGCTGACCTGGAACTTGTTATGTAGACCAGGCTGGCCTTAAACTCACAAAATATGCCTGCCTCTGCCTCCTGAGTGCTATGTTCAGGAGAATGCTGGCACAGAGGTGCAGCCATGCTTTGTTTGACACAGGGTTTTATCTCATGTTCCAAAAGAGTAAGGTGGCATCTCTAAGCAGGTCTGCACCTTCTTTCTAAGCATTAAAGCTCTATTTCTTTGGCTGCCTCAGTTTGGGATATTAGCTATTCTTAAGGAAACTATTCTGATTAAAGCTAAATGTCAATCCCTAGAGATGGCCAGAATGCTGTGGACGATTCATAGTCTAAACCTGGCAACTAAGATCTACCAGGGAGTAAGACCCCGTCTCTAGCTACATGGCCCTTGCCACCCAAGCCTAGGTTCCATGACCTGGATACAAGCAAGGGAGACCCAGGGTTGAGATCCCTCCTGCTAGCACTGTAGAGGGGGAATGTGTACTACCCACCACACAGAGCCATAGTAGGAATATGGCTGCTGCTATATGTGGCCTGCCCTCGTGTCTCTTGACAGAGTGGGAACAGCTTCCATGTGTTTGACCAGGGCCAGTTTGCCAAGGAGGTCCTACCCAAGTACTTCAAGCACAACAATATGGCCAGCTTTGTACGCCAGCTCAACATGTGTGAGTACATGTCACAGGATGGGGTGCCTTTTTCCCATGGGGTATGTAGACCCCAGCACATTGGTGAGAGATGGAGGCCTGGGTTGGCTGAGGAAGAGTCCTTCTGGGTGTGAGCCTGGGTCCCCGGGGAGGAGTGTGAGAGGATCTAGTAGCCACACTTCCGCATGTAAAGAGGGGGAGCTATATGAGGACAAGATCTCTTCCAGCCAAGACTTCCCTGCTGTGATAGATGAGCTCCAACCAGAGTCTCACACACTTCTCTAGAAGGCCCCTTCCCTGCCCTAGGCCATGGCTAGGCTGTGGGAGGTCTACTCCCTGGGCCTCATGCAGAAGTGCCCCACCCCTATGTGTACAGATGGCTTCCGGAAAGTAGTCCACATTGAGCAGGGTGGCCTGGTCAAGCCTGAGAGAGATGACACCGAGTTTCAACATCCATGCTTCCTGCGAGGCCAGGAACAGCTCCTTGAGAACATCAAGAGAAAAGTGACCAGTGTGAGTCACCAGCCCCTTCTCATCCTCAGATCTCCCTGTGGGCTGTGTGCTAGGAGCAGTATCTAGGTGGTATGCTCTTGGACTGGCCTGAAAGCATAGTCTGTATTCCTTGCCTATCTCTCTGCCCCACCCCCTGCCCTTCCCCACTGTATCCCAGACCTTTCCCCACTCCCTAGGTGCCCAGCTACAGCACAGCACAGAAGCCTACCACTTAATACTCTTGTGTCCATCTCCTCCCCACCCCAGGTGTCCACCCTGAAGAGTGAGGACATAAAGATCCGCCAGGATAGTGTCACCAAGCTGTTGACAGATGTGCAGCTGATGAAGGGGAAACAGGAATGTATGGACTCCAAGCTACTGGCCATGAAGCAGTAGGTTCCAAGGCTCATGAGGGTGGCCAAGGTGCTTTCTCAAAACCTTGCCCTATGTGTCTGACCAGTATATGATAAGCCTATGGCCCCATCTCAGCCAAGGTCCTAAGGTGTACCCATCAGATTCTGCCCATGCCCTGCCCCAGCTAGCATTTTTTATCCTCTCCTGGAAACAGAGCAGAGCTAGGGGGCCAGTGGTACCAATGAACCCTCATCTGGTCTAGTCACACCTCACTAGTCCTCCCCCAGCCTGACTCTGGCTCTTCAAAACGTGGCCCAACTGACCCAGCAATATGTTGCAGCGAGAACGAGGCCCTGTGGCGGGAGGTGGCCAGCCTACGGCAGAAGCATGCCCAGCAGCAAAAAGTTGTCAACAAGGTGGGCAGGGCTGGTGGCAGGTGGGTTCCCTCTATTGCTGAGCCAAGGTGACCCTGTCCTCTCTACCCCACAGCTCATTCAGTTCCTGATCTCACTGGTGCAGTCAAACCGGATCCTGGGGGTGAAGAGAAAGATGTGAGACTCTGGAGATGTCTGCACTGACCACTCTGACCCTGGGCCATTAATGTCCTGTGCTTGCTGTGTCCTGGGCACCACTAAAGCTTGGGTAGATGGTTAAACACCTATCTCTTCCCTGCAGCCCTCTGATGCTGAGTGACAGCAGCTCAGCACACTCTGTGCCCAAATACGGTCGACAGTACTCCCTGGAGCATGTCCATGGCTCTGGTCCATATTCAGTAAGCACCAGGCTCTGTGGGACTGCCAGTAAGTGTACAGAGGGTGCTGGGTAGCCCAGGCTACCAGCAACACACCTTGCATGTGGCCTCTGCCTGTAATTGCAGGCTCCATCTCCAGCCTACAGCGGCTCTAGCCTTTATACCTCTGATGCTGTCACCAGCTCTGGACCCATAATCTCTGATATCACTGAGCTGGTGCCCACCAGCCCTTTGGCCTCCCCAGGCAGAAGCATAAATGAGAGGTAGGGCTGTATCACCCTGTCCTATCACTGTGCTGGGCCAGCCTCTGTGGGCTCTGGGTAGGGTTGGATGTGGGTGGAGCTATCAGAGCCTCCTTCTGACATGCCTCTCAATATGACCAGGCCCCTGTCCAGCAGCCCCCTGGTGCGCATCAAGGAGGAGCCCCCTAGCCCACCTCAGAGTCCCCGGGTAGAAGAGGCGAGTCCTGGGCACCCATCCTCCATGGATACTCCATTATCCCCAACTGCCTTCATTGACTCCATCCTGCGGGAGAGTGAGCCTACCCCTGCTGCCTCAACCACAGCCCCTGCAGACACCGGAGCCCGTGCCCTCGTGCCTCCACCCCCCTCCACCCCTGAGAAGTGCCTCAGCGTAGCCTGCCTGGACAAGTGAGTGCTGTACCCACCCAACTCCCTGCAGCCCCTGAACCCTCAGCCTGAGATTTGCTCCGTCTGGACAATGGGGCACCTGACAAGGCATAGTCCCTACAGTTCGCTGGGGGTGATAGGATGGATCTCTTCCCCCAAACCTCAGAGTGAGTTTGGAGCTGGGGAGGGAGACAGCTACCAACCAGATCACTAGGGATGGGATATGCCCATGCTCCTGGGCCACCATAGCTACTGCCATCATCCTCAAGTGGCAAGCCACAGGATCCTCATATCTGTCATTCTACCCAGACCTGGGACAGGAAATGATGAGCCAGGGCCCAGTCTTGAACACCCCTAAGTACTATCCTAGAGAGTGAGCGAGGACGGTGGGCACAGACCCCTGGTCCCCAGCCTGCAATGGGGGGGGGCTCTTGTCTTTGTATCTTGCAGTTTGGCTCGCGCTCCACAGATGTCTGGGGTTGCCCGCCTCTTCCCCTGCCCCTCCTCTTCCTTTCTGCATGGCCGAGTCCAGCCAGGGTTAGCGCTGCCCCCATGGGGAGGGAGGAGGGCTCCACCAGGGACCCTCCAGTAGCCATGGACCAGTTCCTGACCTGGGCATAGCACTTGCTGTGCCTGGTGAAGAGCACCCAAGGGATGATCTCACAGTCTCTGCATCTCCACTGACTCCCCTTTCCTCAGGGCCAGTGGCTTTGATGGAGACAAGCCCCATAACCTGGCCCAGCAACCAGTACAGACAGGATCCAGGCTGCTATGATGAGCTTCCTATCAGGGTGGGGTGGGCCCCATGACACCTATGGAGCCATTTTAACTGCCCTTCCCATGGCTCAGGTGTGCCCATAGCCCAAAGCCTTCTGGTCACAGCAGCACTTAAGGGAGGTACAAATCTACCCATACCAAGCACAACCCTGTGTGCACTACATACTCTCTTCCTAGTGGAATGGCAATAGTTTGTCAAGCCTGAAAAAACTGCCTGCCTCCCTACCCATTTCTAGAGCCAAATCCCCCTTGTCCTTGTTCACCATCCTCTTAGCCCAGCCTTAGTCCTTACCAAAGCCTCAAAGAATGTGGATGTCTTGCCCAAGTTGCACCCACCCTCAGAGCCATAAGGGCATGAAGCTCGCCACTACCCCTTTTGACCTTTTCTCATAAGTCCACACACACTGTCCCCCAGCCTATGCTGACTGTGCAGGGGAGCTTTTGGTGTGGGGCTTCAGCCAAATGGTAGTCCTTCTCCAGCAGGAGTGTGGCTGGGTGGGAGCCTGGGGCACTGGTTCACCTGCCCACTTGCCCTGGGCCAGGAACGAGCTCAGTGATCACTTGGATGCCATGGATTCCAACCTGGACAACCTGCAGACCATGCTGACAAGCCACGGCTTCAGCGTGGACACCAGCGCCCTGCTGGACGTGAGTCTGGCCTGTCCTCCCCACCCTGCCCCCCACACACAAGCCAGCCCTGACTTCCCTCCCTCCTCCCGCAGCTGTTCAGCCCCTCGGTGACCATGCCCGACATGAGCCTGCCTGACCTGGACAGCAGCCTGGCCAGCGTGCGTAGGCGGGCAGGGAGGGGGGCAAAGGGGGCAAGCAACAACCCTTACTATACACCCTCCAACTTACAGATTCAGGAGCTTTTATCTCCCCAAGAGCCCCCCAGGCCTATTGAGGCAGAGAATAGCAGCCCTGACTCAGGTGAGCCAAGCCCCTGCCCCATTCCCTAACCTCACTTCCAACTTACCCACTCCCACCACCCTGACCCCTGTCCCACAGGGAAGCAGCTGGTGCACTATACAGCTCAGCCCTTGTTCCTGCTGGATCCTGACGCTGTGGACACAGGGAGCAGCGAATTGCCCGTGCTCTTTGAGCTGGGAGAGGGCTCCTACTTCTCTGAGGGGGACGACTACACAGACGACCCTACCATCTCTCTGTTGACAGGCTCTGAGCCCCCCAAAGCCAAGGACCCCACTGTCTCCTAGAAGTTCCAGGAGTCAGGCAGGCTTGTGGCCAGTCGCCCACCTTATCCCCAGGGGACAGTCAGCCCTGGAGAGGCAGGACAGGCATGTAGTTCAGGGCATCCTAGGTCAGCCTCTACATCCCCAGTGAAGCACAGATGGGACTTAGACTTGAACAGTGCTTTGGGCCAAGAGGAAGGCCCTAAGGGCTGCACACCTGCTGCCTTCACCCTGGCCCCAACGTCTTCTGGTTTGGTTGGGACTTCACAGTCACACTTCGACTGACCCCACAGGTTATTCATAAAATTGTATTTTGGATTTTTACATGAGAGTCCCCTTTCCCCTTCACGGGGCGGCAGGGGTGTGTGTGTGTGTGT